AGTTATTATTCTTGTTATTTTATTTTTTTTTAAATTGAGCCTCGCATATGTGATGCTCTACCACTGAGCTGTAAAGAACTCAAACCTCTATCTCGGTGAGCCAGGAAATTTTTAGTTTTGTGTCTGACGAACACTCTGAGCATTGCTAAGATCAGTAATGTCTAAAGCAGCGAGTGAATTAATGAAACAAGAAAGACAGTTACTTCGTTCGATTTGGTCAACATTTATTAGCCTACTCGTTGCTTTCGACATTGCTCCTATGAAGACTGAGGTTTGCAAAAGACCATTATTATCATAGTTATGTTTATCAGTCGATGAATTTTTCTTGCGCAACATTTGGAACTGTAGAATATATGTGCTCAGGATAAATGTAGAGCTTAGTTCTACTGCAAAGGTTACGATTTTAAACGACTGATATTTTACAGCTTAAAACTAGACAAGCAGATTCAAAATTCTTAAAAGGAACGCAAATTGAATAGTTTAATTATCACACTCGCCATCTTTTAAGGCCGAATGGCAGAAGACGGTGCTAAAAGAGCTCCTGTGCTCACTCTCCACCTCGGTATACTCCAGCCACTTTTAGTATAAATATCATAAACACCATGTCTCCAAAACACTTACCAAAATTACTGGTTAAATTGAACGGAATTCAATGTTATTCTCACACATATTTTAAAAAATTTATTTAACCTAGTTAAGGATAATAAGAAAAAAAAAACCAGTAAAAACGAAATAAAAGGAAAAACACATACATGCACTTAGTGCCCTCTGCACTGAAAAGTGTGCTGAAATGAGTCTTCATCAGTTTATATTGCTGAGTTTTTTGGTTTGTACTGGACTGATAGCTTCGTCACTGTCGAGAGCCCCCGCCAATTAGAGATTGTATTGGCATCTTGCAGATCATTTATGTTGGACCGCCTGTGTAGTTTTCCATCCGGCTTCACTTGGAACAAAGGATAGTTGTTTTTCTCTTCATTGTCAACAAATGGGATGATATTGGTAACCTCAGCGATGTCGATAACTTTATTAGGGTCTTGGTAGGCTTCATACACTTGGTTGACTGATTTCTGAATAGCCTCGACAACATGTTTAAAATTGTCTTCGCTTTTATGAAGCATTTCATCACCATAAGCAATCCACTTGTCTCCTCTGATATTAGTTACTCGCAGGCCAAACTTCCCGTCTTCATCGTGCATACACTTACTCAGGTAATGACCATCTACATGGAGATTGGTTGCTTTTCCTAATTCTGCTCTTGGTGTCCTGAGATGAAAAGAGTATTATTCAATGAAAATGATACTTATGGAATATGGAAAAACGGGTTTTTAGAAAAAGCTTCTTTCTGCAGGAACTTTCCTTGCCATTTTTTTCCTAGCTGACCTGCTTGAAAACATAAAACTATGATCTGGGCAAATCTGATGAGTCATTCGGAAGTATTAAACAGTTTCAGATTTATATGGATCACTCATAATCACGACAACCCAAAACATTCATTTGGTAATACATGGCGTTTTCTGGCAGATTGGGCCTCAGTAATTTCATTAACATTCGACAAAGGCTTTACTTCGGATGAGCTATTTAATTCTTCTCCTTCTTGTTGCTTTTTTTGTCACTTCCCTCTCCATATATTCTTTTAAAATAAATAATTGACAACCGACCTACGTCGTTATCTTACTTCACAGACTGCCAAAGTAATCAGCACGATTTGTCTGTAAATTAAACATTTATCAGGAGAAGATAATCTCCCAAAAAAAATACATCTGAAATTATAAATGCTTGCACATCACACAAAGGATACTAAAACATACTAAACTTTATACCACATATAAATCAATACAGATTATAAACTTCGAAAAAACAAGATCTTCTTTCATCTTTAGCATGGCGGCCGGATGCAAACTCAGGCTCTCTGCGACATTTGTATATTTCTCTGCATTTATGTCTTTTGTAAACTACAAGTCCTTATATCTGCAGAAGAGCACTTCTCTAAACGACAGCGATGTGTATTTTGTCTCAAAAGTGAGCTGCAGAACTGAAATTGCGGGTAATTTACGTCAACAGAGATAAAGAGTTTAGTAATTCGTTCAAAGCTGTTATGCTTTGTAAGCTCTTTCATCGAGCCTGTTTCGCCCTAGCTTTAATTGCTCTGGCTGGCGATATCGAGTCTAACCCCGGCTACCAGACGCTAGACGACATAAGGAACACTCGTGGACTAAAAATTGCTCACTTAAACATACGAAGTCTCGTACACAAGACCGACTCTTTGCGCCTTGAGGGAATCG